GCACTCAGACTATTGTGCCAGTATATATTATGTACGGCAAGTTACCAACAGTCTGAACGTCTACATAACTCTCGAGAGTTCAAGAACATCAGCCAACAGTTCAGCGAGTTCGGCAAGCGGGACATCACGATGACAGTATCGCGAACTCACAGCGCGGCAAGAAAAGGCGCACGAAAAGCTAAACGGTGAGATTGATGCTGCTCCTAATATCCGGCTTCGTACTGATCCATGCTCCAGTCTCGGGCACAAACTCGCGAACATTCAGTTCGGCAAGGAGAAGACCAACTTTGCAGTTCACGAGGACTTGCTCTGCTCGAGTTCGAGATATTTCAAGATGGAGGTACAAACTTCTCGCAAACCCGTTGAAGGTGACTGTTCAGTCTGCACCGAAGACATCGCCGGCTTCACAGAGATTTCATACTGCAAGGCATGCGGTCAGAACTTCCACACGAAATGCATCGATGATTGGCTGCAGCGGGAACGAACTTGTCCGTTATGCCGCCTCGAATGACCACCGTCACTTCAGTCGATGAGAGTGACAGATCTGTATACGAACTGGTCCGACTCCTACTTCGCCCGGTACATGCAGTGGCTGTACACTGGTGGTATCACGTCGAGAAAAGATTCACTCACGGAACTTCTCAACGCCTGGTCGATGGCAATATCTTTCGAAGATTCCGATTACTTCTTGGCCGCCGGTCGGGCCGTTATCGAGATCTCTTCAGCCTCTCAGGTGACAATTCCTTGCCGCAATATCGTCAGCTGGTACGAACCCCACGTGCGATCGGGACCAAGAAAGCGCAAATTCATGGTTGACCTATGCGCCGCCAGACCAAGCCTGGTGAAGCTGGAATCGGGATTACCCGTGCAATTCCTTCTCGACCTCACACAGAAGTTGCTATCAACTCGGCCAATCGAAGGAGTGGACTTACATGAAGCTCTGGCTGAGCATCTGTCGCTCAGCGAAGAAGGGCAGGAGGTTTCTGAAGATTGAGTCATCTGCGGTCAGTTGGTTATGTGAATGGTATCTACGAAACGGGGAATATGGTGAAAGGAGTATGAGATTGGTTGAAAGGTACGCGATATACGGAAGCAGTTACTGGATGGACGTGGCCATGATATGATCGCGCTGGAAGGATTCAGAAGACGGCACTGTCCTCAAGTTGGGCAAATCAACTGCATGAGAGATAAATAGGGAGCAGAACAAAAGAAAATGCAAATCACATTGCGTGAAGATGGTCTTCCCACCTATGCCCCGCTACTAATAATGTACAGGTACTCGTGCCATGGAAGCTTTTGCTAAGGTATTATTTACCGGCCCTTCTTGACCCATCCCTCAAGATTCTCGCGTGTATCAGCCAGCTTGCCCTCGACCATACCAACAGTTCCCTGCGCATGTGCCTTTCCAGTCTCGATGAATTGCGAGATCCTGTTCTTCATCCGGAGATGGGTATCCGCCAGCACGGGGTATTTCTCTTCGTAGGTCCAGATGAGGTCTCCGACGTTCTTGGTGGTGATGGGCAGCACGAACTTTGCAGCGGTGATGCCGACAGCGACGGGGACGGAGGTTCGAAGGAGGATGTTGCGGTTGCGCGTGACGATGGAACCGGCCATGGAGGAGACGAGGACGTAGAGAGCGCCTGGGAGAACCTTCTCGCCGGATTCCCTCGGTGGGGCTAATGAGCGGATGGTGCTTGTGAAGGAGTGCTCGAGACGGAGCGTCTCGGTGAGCGCGTTGTCGACGGCTTTCTCGCCGCGGACAGCCTGCTCGTACAGAGCCATGCGCGCACGGCCGATCTGGACTGCGAGGCGGTCGGTCGGTGTCGGTCGGTAGGTAGACTCTGGAGATAAAGAGTTCGACGGTTCTGTCAGGGCGGGAGCGGTAGGCGCTGTGGTATCGACGGGCATGTCATCGTAGATAGGTTTGCGGTTCTACTTTTACGTTAGTATTACGATTGATAAGGGGAATAAAGGGCCCAAGAAAGCTTCGTCGAGTGTTTGAGGGCAGTCCAACATACAAAGTGGTCGGCAGGTCGCTCCTCTGCGTATACGGTCCGTGGTGCGAAGATTGCTGCGGCGGAGAGGGCGGCCATGGCGGGGACAGCGGCGCGCTATGCGATGTCAATAAACAGTCTGTCATCTCCTGCGGGCTACTCACCTGCCGTAACAGCGGTCTGAAAGCCATGTCGAGCGTGGGGCAGGCGCAATGGGTTGAGTCTGGTAATGTCCAACTGGTGATGTTGAGCTCAGAAGACGCGGAAACGGCCGTGCGAGCGCCGCAAGATTCCCGCCCGTCCTCGGCTTAGCTATGACATCGTTCGTCTCGTCCGACATCTGCCAGCCCACCCTTCACCCGTGCAACCCAATATGCTCAAGCGCCTCGCTCGCCCAAAGCAGTCGCCATGGGTCTGCCAACAATGCCTGCGCTCCTCCCAACGCCAACGACGCTTCAACTCTACATTCGCCGCCGCCGCCAAAGCACGCGACACTGCGCCGCCCAACGCTCTGTACGGCCTGTCTGCCAGCGGGAAGACAGATGACGACGCCCTGCGCAAGGTTTTCGACAATGCATCCTTCTGGAATGACTTCAAGCGCGCATCGCAAAAGGGAAAACCCACGGGAATAATAGGGAACCAATACCTCACCCACCCCCAGGGTTTCGTCGACTTCGTTACCGTAACAATGCAACGCTGCAATGCCGTGGTGCAGAAGGTGGCGGCCGCGCAGTCGACGGAGGACTTCAAGCACATGGTCAAAGACCTGGACAAGCTCAGCGATCTACTATGTCGGGTGATAGACTTGGCCGACTTTGTAAGAGGCACGCATCCGGATCGCAAGTTCCAGATGATGGCGATGAAGGCCTACCAGACGGTGTTCCAGTACATGAACCAGCTGAACACCACGCCGGTACTGCACGACCAGCTGAAGAAGGCGTCGGAGATATCCGAGGTGTACGACACATGGAGCGAGGAGGAGCGTATCGTTGCGCGGATATTGATGGAGGATTTCTCAAGATTTGGCATCGGACTAGACGACAAGACAAGGGAGCGGCTCGTAGATCTGAGCGGCGAGATTGCAGACGTAGGGAACGAGTTTGTGGAAGGCATGGCGCCAGAGAAACGGGACTTGAGGTTCAAGTCGTCGAAGCTGAGAGGGCTGGACCCAAACCTCGCAAAGGCGCTGACGAAATGGGGCGAGACCAAGATCTCTACCATGCATTCCGAATCGCAAGCGGTTTTACGATTCGTAGACGACGCAGATGTACGGCAAGAGACGTACCAGGCTGTCCGGACAGCCAACAAACCAAGCATCGCGAGATTAGAAAAGCTATTGAAACTGCGAGTGGAATTGGCCCAAACCTCAGGCTACGAGACATTTGCGCACATGACGCTGGAGAATAAGATGGCACGAACACCGGAAGCGGTCAACACGTTTTTAAAGGCACTGTATGAGGACAGCCGGCCGGCTGTTCTCGCTGATCTAGAAGAGTTGATGGAGTTGAAGAGAGGCGACGCCCACCAGGACAATTTCCCCGATCGCATCAACGCCTGGGATAAATTCTATTACACACAGAAGATGCTAGCCTCTATGGAGAGCCACTACAGGCAGCGAACGCCCGACTCTTTATCTGCATACTTCTCCGTTGGTACTGTGCTACAGGGTATATCACGACTCTTCGACCGTCTCTACGGCGTTCGATTTGTACCTAAGGAGACCCAACCAGGAGAAGTATGGGACGATGGTGTCCGCCGGTTAGACGTCATCTCCGACACAGAAGGCCACATCGCAGTCCTATACTGCGACTTATACTCACGACCCGGCAAGACTCCGAACCCAGCGCACTTCACCCTCCGCTGCAGCCGCGAGATCCTACCTTCAGAAATGGAAGAAATGGCCCACATGCCGCACCGCTTCTCCTCGCCCATCGAAGCCGCCACAGACGGCATGCCAGTATCCTACAACGCCGAACGAAACAGCTACTTCCAACTCCCCACGATAGCACTAATCTGCGACTTTAGCAAAGCCTCGCATTCTCGCCCGACCCTCCTCAACATCCACGACGTGCGCACCCTCTTCCACGAAATGGGTCACGCATTGCACTCCATCCTCGGTCGCACCGCCCTACAAAACGTCTCCGGCACCCGATGCGCAACCGACATCGCCGAGCTACCCTCGGTGCTAATGGAGCACTTCGCATTCTGCCCCCACGTCCTCGGTCTCTACGCCCGGCACTGGGAAACCGATGCGCCGGTCCCCATGGCTGCGGTCGAAGCCCGGCTTGCTATCGATAACAGAAACCAGTACTCAGAACTCGAAAGCCAGATCTTGCTCTGCATGCTCGACCAAGTGTACCATTCCCCCATTGCCGCCGACCCCAATTTCAACTCCACAAAGGTTTACCACGACGTCTATAATAAATACGCTTCTGTCCCTGAGCCTGCTGGAACGGCTTGGCAGGGTTTCTTTGGCCATTTGTTCGGATACGGGGCCACGTATTATTCTTACCTCTTTGACCGTGCGCTGGCGGCGAAGATCTGGAAAGACGTGTTTCAGCATAATGGCCAGGAAGGTAGTTTGGATAGGGAAAATGGCGAGCTTTATAAGAACGAGGTGCTTAAGTGGGGTGGAGGTAGAGATGGATGGCAGTGCTTGGCTGGTGTTCTCAAGGATGAGAGGTTAGCTAAGGGAGGCGAGGAGGCTATGGCCGAGGTGGGGAAATGGGGGATTAGGGAGGCGAGGGGGAAATGAAGTGGTGATCGAGGTCATGATTTATATACGTTTAATGTTGCGGCGCTTGTATATATGATGGTTAGATGGTCAGACGGTAGACGCTACATTTAAACGCGCATGCATTTATGTCATAGACATGGAATCTCAGATCAAGCAGAACACCTGCAGTATCATCAATCACTTTTGAACAATGCGAATTTGGAATGCTACTTCATACACCTCCTACATACACCTCTCTCCAAAACTTCATTATGCTCACACATACCCTCCTACCCGCCCATCCCCCTCCCCCGATCCATAACCCCCGCCTTGATCCTCTCCACAACCTCCCTACCCAACCACCTCAACTTCCCATTTTGCCTACACGCCGCATCCGCCCACTCAAACACGCCCTTCAACTGCCTCAGCTCCTCAACCTTCCAGCTCTTCGCCAGCCTACCCAACACCAACCTCGACTCCACGACAGTAGCTCCGGGGTCCAACCAGCTCTTACTGTGTTGATCGAGTGGCAATATGAGTCCTGCGTCGCTGGCAGATATGAACTGCGATAGCGCGGGAAGGGTGAAGATCCAGTGGAAGAGGAGGTTGGCCGTCTTGGATGATTGCGCGTCGTTGAGGGCGACAAGGGTAGAACTAAACGCCGTGGCGTACGTATCGTGGGCAGAGCGGCGGCGAACGTTTAGTGTTTGGTTGCGCTCGAAGGATTTGAGATGGAGTGGGTTGTGCACAAAATCTAGGGTCGTGGGCCAGTACGTCTGATCTGCTGTTTCAAGGCGGCTGATAAGATGGATTTCTGGGAGGAGACAGGGCGCTACTAGTGTCTTTGTTTGTGGCACCTCGTTCCCTTCTTGATTGTCTTTGAAAACGACGTTGATGGGCATGGATATGGCGCGTCCTGTGTCTACGTCCCGCACAACAAGACATCTGGGTTCGGCGGCTAGTACCCAGAAGTGACGGAACGCCTGGAGATGGGCCCGCGAGTCTTGTACGTCGGAGGGAAACAGGGGGTAGAATGCGCAGATCAGACTGGCAATGGCTTTGTTGCTGCGACTGAAGGTCTGGGTACCACCCGCGATGAACAGAGTGCCGAAGGCCATATGAGCTGCGAGATGAGAGCCGTAGGGAATATCTGGACCAATGCGGCCATGGAGACCGCGCAAGCGACGGAAGACGTCGAGATCGCCAGTTCCTGCCATGACAGTTGCGGCGGCTAGAGCAATGAGATCTTGACAGTTCCGGACTGTGTTCTTGGAAAGCTTAGAATCATAGCGTACGGCGGGAAGTTTGTTGATACGTATCAGTTGATCCAAATACTTGATCAGGAAGTCGCGGACCTGAATGTCCCCCGTACCAGCATGCTTGAGACTCACAGCCCACAGCAGACCTGCGATGATGTTGTAAAAGGGCATTTGCTCGCTACGGAGTCGTGTTATACCTTTGAGGTCCCAGGCTTCGCGATAATCGTACGGCAGATTCTTGATGATCCAGGAGTCCGAAGCTTCAATGGTATCCCACATGATGAGATGTTTTGCGAGGGTGCGGAGGAGGAAAATGTCTGGGCGAACGTAGTCGAACTGGGGCAGCGTGTCCGGGATGTCTATCTTGCGCGCGACGGTCTGGTCGTGGGTCTTCATGAAGATGAGGGCAACGGCGATGACTGCTCCAGCTGTGGCTTGATCGAGGATGTGAACAACGTTGACGGGCTTAGGCGCTACAGCGACTGTCATGAGACGCTCAACTATACGCATATCGTGGAGACCTCTAAGATCTTTACCCTTGCCCAGGTTGATGAAGCCGAGCGCGAAGCCCGCAGCCAGCCTGTAAGCTTCATCCCGCAAACTATCTGGTGGTTCTGATGGATCTGGAATCTCAACAAACTCGATCTCTGAAAGCATCACTTCGCTCATGCGACGGTGCTGTGTGTTGTAGTAGAGTAAACCAATGCCCATCAGGCCCGTGGTCTGGGTGTAGGGAGAGAGGTTTAGCTCGGCTGCTCCTTGTGGAAGCATTCTTGTGACATGCACCGACAGCAGTCTTGTAACCAGCGTATCCATGGTACCCATGAATGAGGCGGCTAAGCCCAACAATAAGCCGACCGAAGTCATGGTATGTTTGGGAGTAAGGTACTTGAATGACAGCCACTTCGCAATCGTTCTCAGATGGCCATTCAGACCAAGGCCAAGCAACAGTCCAGCATGCTTGTTCGTCAACTCTGAAGGTTTGTTGTACATGATCCATGACGTGTCGATGCCCTGGGCGTCGCGCGATATGCTGAGACCAGCTGCAGCACCAGCGTTAAAGAATGCCCAAAAGTACTTCTCCTCGGAATAATTTTGCCGTTCTGCAGTGACAACGTTACCCATTGGCTTCATGAGGCATGATGTAGAGAAGCCGTATAGCGGGTATTTCTCTGTCAGCAGAGGTTTCTTGCTGCTGAACTTGATCATGGAACTGCCCAACGGCAAAGAGAACGTGCGCACCATGACCCACTGCATCAGTGTTTTCTGTCCCTCGAGCATTGCTGCATCGTCTTGCCGGTTGTCAGCTTTGTACTCTGCGACAGTCTGCCGCAGAGGTTCTAGCAGCGTGTATGCCTCCATGAACCGCCTATCTTCGCGGAATATGAGTCGCGTGATGTAGTGCCGATCAACTTCAGACGTTGATTGAATTGCTTCCATTCGATCAGCGCCTTGACATATGGTGTGAACGTCTCGTGTTGTGCCAGCTGCATGCAGACCTCCGCCTGTTGTGGCCAAGTGGCTATCATGGGCAAAGTCTGCAACTGGCGTGTGACTAAGATCCAAGTCTTCGCGCTGGACCAGTCTGAGTAGTGAGCTCGACCATGTAGTAGGTGGATTCGCCTGACATCTCGTAATAGCCTCCATGAGTGGTGCTTTAGCGGCTTCCGGCAACGTGGCTAACAGCTCAGGGCTGATATTGCAGGTCCTGATCAGCTCTACAACCTTCTTAGGGCTCGATGCAGGGTCTATGTCACGGAAGAACCTGTGCAATGCTACAGTCCTGGGCGTTACCCCGGCGATGATCTCGTCGATGTTGATGGACGAGTGTGGAGAGGCTTTGGACTTCCGTATGAGCATCGCCAGTGTGGGGAATGGGGCATAATGCTGGGATCCTGTGACAGTGCTAATCCATTCCATGATTGAGGGAGGTGCATCCCATGGCTGTGCATGCAGCCGAACTTTGCTGATCAATGTGGTTTCGTCATATGCCCAATCCTGACTTGAACCCCCATCAAGATCGAAGAATCCACCCTGTCTCCAATCCCATGCTTCCCAACGAAGCCAGTGCCCGATCTGTGCTAACACGGGTGCGAGATTCCCATGTTGCATATCAGAGAAATCTTGGCACAGGGTGTCAAGCTTGCGCTCTTCACGGAAGAGATGGAGCGACACCACAATTTCAGACAAAGACGATATGCGAAGATCCTGCTTCTCCGAGGGAGACAGTCGTCTCCAATGGTCATTGGTGGCTTTGCCGATCGGTGACTGGACATATTGACGAGCAAGTTCAAGGCAAGTTGGTATCATGCCGTTCTTAATGCTGATCTGTTGAACAACTGTTGGCAACTGGCGCTGCAGTGAGTCACGCTTGGCCGGCGGACTCATCGCCGTTGATGTCGGGCTAGAGTGCAAAGCCCAGGCCCAGGGAGAGGATCCCCAACTCTTGGCCTGCGGTGTCGACGTCTGGCGATTGCACATAAGACGCCATGCTGAGTCCTCGTCATCAATTAACTCGTCTGGCTTGGCTTGGCTTGCAGGACGCCCAGAACTTCTTCGCTGAGTTGACTTTGCACGAGTGACCGTCTTCCCCTTCTTCTCATCGATGAAGGGTACCGCGAGAGTGAGCAGAGTCGCTACGAAAGCTGTCCAATCAGCACTCACATGCTCCGCTCCCTCATCCGATAGCGATTTGCGAATGTTCCACCAAATCTCCAGTAGAAATTCGCCTGCATAGTTTGGCAGAACCGTTGAAAGCACTCGGAAGAGTTCAGCAACATAGCCATTCGAGGGAGACAGACGCAATACCATCCGATGGCGACGCAGCTCACCGTCATGTAGCTCTAATTTGCCGCTTTTCCCTAATGACGATAGCCCTCGTAACGGCTGACTCGGTTTTATGATTCGTCTTGACCCTACCGTTGCTCTGGTTTGATCGCGTTGTATGATGGCATACGGATCAAACATCTTCATGGAATCCAAGGTGAGCTTCACCGGTAGGTGGCTACCCCAACCTGCAGTCAACGATAAACAAGGTTCCTGGGGATTTCTTGAATTGAGTTGCGCGATTCGCTCGACATGGCCGTCACGAACTTTCACAAGATCCAGTGCGTTATCTAGCTGTCGCGAGCTGACAAATTTCGGAACGCAAGCATATCGAGGAGCCGCACTGGCCGACCCCGACTGGGTCGCCGATGCGGATGGTGATAGTCTTCTTCGTGAGACTGCGAGCTCACATTCGAGTGGAAGTTGGAGTGACGGATGGGATATGTACAGGTACAGCTTTCTCTCATGAAGAGTTGCTGAATTGAAGGGTGCATTCAGCGTAAGTACCTTTGGCTCATGCCATTCCTACTCAAGCGTTAGTAACGTCATCTTTCTGGGAACGATGCTGACTTGCCTCAGAACTCGAAGGGTTCCCAAGGGCAAAGAGGCCACTTTTGAGGTATTGTGTAACTGGGAGCTCTGCGATGACACTGATGATGAGCTCTTTGTGGAGTCCATCTCCAGGTTGCGGTCCTCCTTTACCATCAGGCGGTGCAAACAGATCATCAAGCTCATCGTAATCTTCTATAGTGTCGAATGTATCCTCGTCCATGACATCGTCCAGGGTGTCATCAATCGATACAGCACCTAAGCTCATTCGGGATGTAACGCTACCAGGGGTGGAGGCTCGATTCCGAGATTGTGAGAAGCCACCAAAACTTGTACGATCGTGACCCAGTGAGTGCCTACTTCGCTGACTTGCATTGAAGCTGCCACCAATACTGGTGCGGGAAGTTGCCATGTCCTGAAACGCGCTTCTGTCAAAGCTCGTTGAAAGTTCAGCCCGTGACAACAGCGAGCTTACTCGCCTGGACTCCTTTGGCTGGCGGGTGATATCAGAGTCGGGATTGAGCTGTGAGGCAAGAGCGTCGTCGACTGCTTGGTCAGAGAGACGTTCCTTGGTGATCTTGAAGGATGGGGGCTGAGTCTTGCTGCGTGGAGCACCACCAAAGCTTTCCCTCAATCTGTCAGCTCCACGAATTGCTGGCGTAGTTGCGCCTGTTCCTGGTGCAGTGCCGCCATATGAGCTACGGCGTCGAGACTTGGCTACTGGCAGAGGGATGTGCTGTTTGCGAGAACTTGATATTGATTTTGGCTCAAGATAGGCCGCAGACCAGATGGTAAATACATTAGTCTCGTGGTTTGCTGTGACTACTAGTAGAAGAGGCTTGTCATTACCACTGCGATCGAACAGAATCTCGTTCCGCGGAGACACGTAGATGATCTCCTCAGCTTTGTCAATTGCCTCGAGTCGCCGATGACCTGAGCCTTGGGAGGTCAAGAAGCTGCTGCGATCACCACCTGCAACAACGCTGACCACCAGTCCCAGCTCCGACAGCGGGTCTGTGAAGGAATATAACCTGGGTATCGACTCTGGATTTAGAGGCGCAACAGGGTTGATCAAATCATCAAGAAACGTGTTTGCACACGACAGGCGAGATTTACCATGTCGCGATGCGCCCATTGAAGAGCCATGCCGCCGGTGGGGTTTATGAAAGCTCTGTGAAAAGGAGAATTGTTGTGAGAGGAAAGACTGGTTGTTCGTGAGGAAGGAGTTCTGTGGAGCCGACGGCAACTGCGGACTGGTGGGCACAGGGTGTAAAGGAGCAAGCTTCCTCTGTAGCACAACACCCCGTGCTGCAGGAAAGGCTTTGTCCACCTCGAAGGGGAGGTTTACGATGTGTGTGGTGCCCGAGAGGAAGAAGACGTGTGCTTGCGACTTCAGGAACACGACGAGAGCACGCGATAGCTTCTCCACCGTGGGCGTTGTGGGACTGGCTGGCGCAGTGGGATCGGTAGCAGGCTGGGTCCCTTGTGTGAGGAAGCCCTTTGCAGGGTCGGCAGACTTGTGTTCTGACGAGTTGTCGGTAGGCTCGTAGGTGCCATGGGAGGGCTCGTCTACCAAGAACCATGTCAAGAGCGCCTGCTTGACCTTCTCTTTCTCAACTTCAAAGTTGAAGACCTTGCGTATAACACCACCTCGCGACCAAATCACATGATACTCGGTGGTGACGAGCTCGTCGGTGTAGCCATCGGGGCTGTCGTCGGTGTAGGTGTCCCAGACATAGTCGCGGTCGGTGCTATCGTCGGTCAGGATGGACTCTTGGACCAGATACTGCAGGGCGGAGGGCTTGTGGACCCCGATTGAGCGAAGGGAGGCCATGCGAAAGATTGGCCCGCAACATGAGGGAGGTTCGGGTGGCGTGTGTGCGTCGGGGTGAGAAGGGCGGTTTGTTTGCGCGGGGCGCGCGATCTGAGGTGACGCGCTGCGGTCGAGCGCGACTTCCCCAGGGAAATGTTGACAAACTCCGCAGCACCTCCGAGCTTCCTTCACCCTCACACATCACGTCGCGCCACTCGTGCACCTCTCATACTGCCAATACAACAATCAGACACCTTTCAGACGTTCTGAATATAGTTGCGCTTCAGGCAGAAGTCGCATCCTTCGCCCCTTCCTCGTTACCTAGGCGGTAGCTTCGCTCACCACCCTCGAGCTGCAAGCATGGAGCCCATTGTCACGACGCAAGGGAAGCTGACTCAGCTGAGGTATGTTCTCACCACGCTGCGCGTCACGCGACTGCTGACATAGCATCTTATAGGTACGAGCTTCCGCATCGCGTACACGACTCTACCGTATACCCCGTCAAAGCCCCCAATGGCTCGACCATCGTACTCTACGGCCACGAGACTGGCGTCGGCATTCTATGGAGAGGCGGACGGCCCTTGAAGAAGACTGCGCCGCCTCCCAAGCAGCCGGCGAAGCCAGCGAAAGTCAATGGAACAAGCAAGGATGCCATCATGATCATCGACTCGGACGATGACGAGCCTGCCAAAGCTGCCGCGGAGCCGCTGCCTAAGGCCGAGTTTGAGGATGAAGAAGAAGAGCTCGACCCAGACCAGCCGTATGCCTCGATCGTTCAGCAGCTGTCTCTGTCGCTCAGCACCCAAGTCCTCCACATCGCCGTACCCCAAATACCGAGCGCGTCTACCCTCCGACCCGCAGATACCATACCTCCCATATTCAGTCAAAACATCCTCTTCACTGTCGCATGCGCCGACTCGACCATCCGTGTCATTACGCTGCCTCTGAGCCCTCCTCCGCATGTCGCAAAAGACAAGCTATACAGCGCGAAGCCACAATTCGGCGAGAACGTTGTCAAGGTCCACGGTCACCAGAGCATTCCAATGGGTGTTACTATGACTTGGACCGCAAGGGGAGAACCAAGCTCTGCAGAAGATGGGGACGACGACGTGGATATGGATGAAGAGGAAGAAGACACGGCGAACTCTAGGCGCAAACCACAATCGCGCGCTGACGGAGGCTTCGACATACTTGTGGCATCCCACTCCGCCGAACTGGGAGGTTTGCTCAAGCTGTTCCGTTTTGAGCTGTCGGAGACGTCACTAAAGGTGTCCCATCCTGTCACGCCTTACAAAACGCTGGCTCTCAGCAAGCCTGCCTCTCGTATTGCCTTCAACACCGCTCAATATCCGAAGCCTCGCCATTCGCAACTACTGATCGCGGACTCGGCTGGCACTACGCGCATTTACGATCCTTTTACATTACCAGCTCGTAAACGACGAGGAAGCGGTAGTCGCACGGAGCCTGGCGCATTCGTGGGAACCTTCAGGTCATCCTTCGAGAGCGTCAAGAACATTGCGCTCACCCCTGCTGTTCTCCCATCGCGTAAAGCTATCATCGACGCAGCGTGGGCTTCCGATGGTCGTCATATAATAGCTCTCCTGGCAGACGGCGAGTGGGGCGTCTGGGATGTCGACCGGTCTGGTCCAAGTCCTCCAGCAGATCCATCGGCATTTTCTCTTCGGGGGTATGTTGGTACAGCCGAGAAAGAAGGAACCTCTGGCGGCGCATCGAGTCCAAAGCGCGGAAGCCGTAATTCACTCGCTCCAATGACACCGAATACACGTAAGCGGAAAGAGGAAACGCTCTTCCAGGGCAGCGCGTCAAGTTCCACAGTCGCAACCAGAGGTGGCGTTTCTGTTGCTAGCATCACGTCAAATAACGGAGTATCGGCAGAGGACTCGGTCCTCATTTGGTACGGGACCGAAATTCACAGGATAGCAGATCTGATGAAGTTCTGGACTCGCACTGCTTCCGCCAGCAGCGGAGGTTCCTTGCCTGGCCCCGGTCTCCAACAACAGGATGTTGTACTTTGCGGCGAATCCATCACCTCCGTCTCACAGTTCGACACCACAGCCCAAGCCTCGCGCATGGCCGTCGCAAGAGATACTCTCATCTCAGCGGAGCACCGCCTCATCATAACCGCCAGCACCAGTCAGCCTCTTGGACGTGATCTAAACGCCATATTCGCGCGCGAAAAGGTGGAAGATGAAACATCCACCCGAACAGACCAGGCTCTCCTCACTCGTGGCGAGCTTGATCTCGGTGGCATGGACAGGATGCTCGAAAGTATGGAAGGCAGCGGAACTAGTGCAGCTGTTTCCAAGAACTTGACCATGGGTGGGCCTCGGAAGGTTCTCTTCGCCTCGTCAGCGGCTTGATCATAAACGACAGCGCAACGATCGATTTGCCTTTGAATAAAAGAAAGTGCGCCGAATGCACGGAAAGCCGGTATTTGAATACGGTATCCCCACATCATCATCCTGATTCTCATAGCCGCCATACAAGCGGTAAGCGGTTCCAAATGCTCCCTAACATGTCCCTTTCCTCTCCTTCGTGTTCTCAAAAAGAAAGCCCAGACCCAAAACATGCTTTCGCGGCCTAAGGTGGAGCTCAGCGACCAGACCCATTCCTGCTGCTCAGTATAGCCTAGCGATACATCAACTACCGTACTGAACCCACAGTCGCCGACAATCGTCCCTTTTACCCCTAGTAACCCTCACAGGCGAAAGGTTCCCGTAATGTAAAAGGTCTCTTTTGTCTGGATAGCTGTGGGCGGTGCGTGCATAATTCCCTCCCAAATTTTCACTCTGAGCTGCCTGTATATCTAGCCGGTCCTTATGGATGTCGGGTGAAGACAATATGCGATTCTGTGGTGACGAGGCGCGTGGGTGCATGACGTGCGTGTCTGTCATGGATGCGTGCGGTGTAGTGCCTGCGTGTGGGGAAGGGCGTGCAACATCTCTTGACCTTTGTGATTGTTGTGATGTGTGCAATGATGTTTGATGAGACAAGTCATTCATCTTTCGCTTTCTTCACGCACGAAACATATGTGTAAAATTATCAGATATATTATCATTACTTCGTCTATTGCCCCAAACGCCATTGCTAAGTAAAATAGAGACAACGATGCATACCTACTCATTCTCAGACAAGAAAGACGTGACGATAGGCTTCTGTGACCACAACCTTACTGAGCGTCGTCCACTACTCTTCCAACAAACCCTTCCAGCCCAGCCATACCCTTGGCACCCCTTTCATTACCTCCGAACAGCCCTGGCCCACCACCAGGCATGACCAACACCTTGGCACCCGTCTCCACGAACTCGCGCGAAGCGATGAATTGGAAGGTCACAATGACTGCACCCTCGGTTGCTGACTTCTCCACTTCATCGTCAAAGCCGAACCCGAAAGCATCATCGTGTCCGTGAGTCTCGAGCGTAGGGTCTTCCGCACGCTCGGCAGCAACGGAAAGCACTTTGGATGAAGCTCTTACGCTAGCAATGTAGACAACGACTGCACTACCAACACTGAGGTCCTTGACACTTTCTGCTTGCTTCTCCTCGAATCGCACTGTAATGACTTTGTGCGCCTTAGGCTCGCGAGTCGCCAAGACCATGCCTTTGCGTATCCTGTTTATTGATGGACTGACAATCGGTGTATCAACGGGTGCGAGGCCCATGGTCCCGACCTGACCTGCATGCAGCTTTCGCACGGGTAGACGCAAATTGCGCAGAGAGGTAATGCGGACGCGTCGCCATTCACTATGCCGATCGCGCAATGAGGCGTTCTTCGATTTCGTGTTCAGTGCGCCAGGAAATGACCTCGATTGCGGAATGGATGGCTTGCGATTTGGCATTGCGCCTCCGCTGTCGCTGTCGTCGGAGCTTACATCGACAGGATAGGGTCCTAATAGCAGCTCGTCACCAACGGCCAGAGACCCGTAGCGGAGGTAGCCCCCGATGATCGCAGATCGATCACTTGATGTATTTGTCCGCACGCTGTAGACGTCTTCGATATAAAAGAGTGGTGAAATTGATGCAGGTGTAAGTGGGGTCATGTCCTTGGGCATGGGCAGTTCTCGAAGGAATGTATGAAGCTTCCGGATTCCTGTTCCTTTGACGGCGCTAGTCAAAACTACCGGCACTGCCGCAAGTGGTGAGTCTGTAAGGAGACTTAGAGCCTTGTCGATCTTAGGATCCCCTTCATCAACTGTGTGTAGATCGGCCTCTAGCACAGATGGAGCTGCATCACCGATGAGAAAAGGCGTCCTGTTGTGCTCTCTCAATACAGAGAACAACTTGGTACAGGTGCTTTTCAGGTCGGTAATGTTAGCCAAATCGAATTTAGTGATGACAATGACAAGCGGTAGTTCCAGGGCGAGGCATAACTGAAGGTGTGCGTGAGACAGATCTAGATCTGCTGCTGCTGGGCCGAGTATTTCTTCCGCTGAAGGTGATGCTCCGAGCTTGCCTGAAGATTCACTGGTGTTGTCAGCTGGGATACACAGGAGTGTCCAATGGGGTTGCCTAGTGGACAAGTTAGCAGAGTCCGCCACATGCATTCGAGACGGGACGGTTGGGAAGAAGATAACCCAGAGGAGTACATGTGAAAGAAGGGGGAGTTGTAATATGCAGGTATCACTTACCAGCCAACAATTCCACGGACAGTGGTTCGTCTAAATCGAGGGTGGCCAGCTGAGTCAGAAAGGAACACAAGTCGGCCGTTCTCCGCTGACTCTACAGCCGAGTGGATGTCAATCCACGAGTCAATGTCCTCAGAGCCATAGTTAGTCACGCGTGACGAGCCTCCCACATCACGGTACCCTATCAGCTCCTGAGTGACAGAGCTGGTCATCCCTGATGCGATTTCGTGTCTGTGTTTCAAAAGACTCAGGCGACTCTTTCCTCTGCCATTATCCAGCGTGGCGGTAGAAAGCGTGCCAAGTAGGCTAGATTTACCGGACATGGTGGCACCGGTCACTGAAACACGCATCTGCTCAGTGACCCCTTTAGACTCGTTAGTCAGAGCCACAACGTTGCTAGCACCGGAGTTAGACGGAACGTCGGCTGCATCTTGCTCATTCCTCTTCGTATGATCGATCAAGTGCTGTTCTGGGCGGACCAGAGCTTCGGCAACTAGTAGTTGCGATTTTACCACCCTCTGTTGTACTGTGCCAGGATTCTCAATCCACTCGCAGTCGCCCACTGGAACCCTGCGCATAACCTCGATTCCACAGCCTAAGCTTGCAGCCATGGCGCGCAAATTGTTCAGGCTCTCTTCCATCTCGTCTTCTGCTAGACCAACGATAGTTCCGTCGTCTGCAACTCCAATCTCGTAGAGCGCACCGCTACTCTCCTCCAATCCCGGCAGTAGACGTTGAGGCATCTCGGGGGCTGACAGACGTGCATCGTCGGGGAAATGAGGTATGACAGGTGCCATGGATGATGACATGTGGTTTGGGCATGACTGCTGTAGGCGCCACAGCAACTGGGTAGTCAGCTGCTCCAGACGATGCTGCTTTGACTGTGTAGATGCCAGTGGTGGGGGAGTGTTGGCCAGGACGCCGGACTCTGATACGCTGCGACCCGCTGGTATAGGTATTTCAGGTCGACGCATGGACCCAGATATATGGCGTGCAGTACTGGAACGGGTGAACGACCGCCGTCGCCTGAGCAGCAGATGTAGCTTGTACTCCGTAGGCCCATCCTGGGGTTCCGCCTCTAACCGTGTGATATGCGTATAATCTATATCGGTGGGGAGGGATGTTGCATTCGCGCTCGTCTCGTCGGTAAGACCACCAAGAGTCGAAGGAATTCGTCGGGGGTTCGTGGCTGGAACCGGGGAGTGCGCAACGCCGCCGATGGGCGTAATCGCCCACGGCGACGAAACGCGCGGAGGGTCGGGGTCGAAGGTGAATATGGAGGCCATGTTGCGTAGTAGAGGTTATGTGTCTTCGTGGTTTTATTCCTCGCGGGAAGGCGCGATCGGGGTAAGACTGGTCAAGTTGCGTATTGCCGCGTTGCGCTGGTGAGTAAGCGTGGTATCGATCGTGAGTTGGTGTGTAAGAAGTGCGTCCGAAATAATTGCGATAATAAAGGAAGCATCGTGACGGGTGTGTAAGGCAAACGATGAGTGGAACTTCGTCAAGCAATGACTTGAGGCAACTCGTCGACGAGTTGCGTGAAGGTGCCAAGCTGGCGTTCAGAAATTAGAGAAAGACATGAGTGTTGGCAATGCTAGTGATGGTGATGCTCGGAGTGACGGGAAAGTTGCGGTGGCATGAGATGGTTGTCGACTGTTGGAAGTATGGAGGTCGCGACTGTCGTGTTAGTCATTGGTGGTCATTGGTCCTAGCTCTGCGGGGAGTCACCGTTCTGCGGAGCGGCCCTCATCCATCGCTCTCAGCCTCAACACGGATCGCCGCAACAGCAGACGCCCTTTTCCCTGGTGCGATTTACAAATCGTATCCGTACTGACCTTGCATTGATTCAAAATTACTGTCGGCTTAAAGCACAGTACTCACTGGTAGGTATCAACACATTCGTTAGCCAACAGCGTTAGAAACATCGTGTGGACTGCAGAATGCAAAACCATCTTGCCGTACGATCATCTGTTGCGTGAATATCCATGCCTGCATTCAGCAGAGCAAAGTACGAATGTGCTGGTCACGTCTCCAGTCTCGTGGAGACTTTACAAGACTTGGTCCATATCTGCATTCCGCGTTGGTTCTGGAGGGCTTCATCTATGTATGCTGTTCTGCCAGTTGCATATCAAGAACGATGTCTGGGATCGTGTGACATCATAACATACACTGGTCTTATTGCTGACTGATTCCGGCACGGCACGCGTATTCGTATCTGAACGCCAGGCATCGACGGGCTTAGGGCGACGATCGGGTTCAGACACGAGAAGGGCGTAATGTTGGCGCAGGCTGGGTACCCAATAACCTTACCTCCATGTGAATATGCCAGTAGCAATGACCAGCTCAGCGCATTGCCTACCAGACTAAGAAGGCGTTACGAGATTAAAGATAATGCTGCAGTCGCCAGACAATGCGACGCTCTAGCGAGTTCGAATCGAAGCACACAAGACACATGCCGACCAAACCCCAGTGCACTACGGCATCAAAACATCTCGGCGCAGGATTCCGCTAAAGCTCAGCCGGCGGTTGAGGCTGAAATGCTACGAAACAGACACCTAAACGTATATGGGACAATGATATGACCGTATGACAGGCTCGCGTCCTCCACCATGAAAGGACTGCTGAAGACCCCTGTTACGGCTGTTGGCCGCTTTGTGCGGTTAATCTATTCCCACGCACATGCCGCCGCCTCATTGAAACAGTCCGCCCATCTGGTGGACGGCTCTGACTTTAGCCGGCTTTCTCGAAGGTGACACTGCACGTTTCCCGCAGTAGTGGACACGCGAGCGCTACGAGCCAAACCATTGCCCTGGAGCCCCATGTGTAACCTTGACCATGCACGTCAGCCTTGCACATGCGAGGACCACATGGTTCAAAACTCCGGCTATTATCTCTGCGATGGCTCACCACGCGAAGGGGATGCGCGTCAGATGTTGGTGTTTGAGTGCTGCTGGGGATGGCATTCTGATGCTTTCTGTTCGTGTGTAAGTTGCGAATGCCTCACTTCTGACAAGCGATGACATATCGCCGACTGCACTGTGGGTAGCCCGCCTAATGCTCATCATTTGCGGCGCAGTGATCTAGAGACGCGAGCGCGAGACCAGGTCGGATTCGGGTACGTTGCCGGGTCACTTGCGCGTCTCGATCACATCGTGGAGACGCTCACAGTGCGTGAAATTCCCACGGAAGATCTCTGGATGCACACATGGGCCACAATTTCGTCAAGATCGAACGATACGTACGCAGGTGAGATGTCTTTCATTTCTTGGCCACACTGTGCTGCGTTCATCGACTCATGCAGGTGATCTAGAAGGTAGTTTTGCTGTGGGGTGGGGCGGTGTTATGGTCGCCTGAGGAAACATACGATTAGACGCTTTGAGATAGGCAAAGTGGACAAGGGAGGGCTGACGCCCGTCACTGTGCCGCCGGCACTGATGTCCTAGGTTGGTAAACACTCCGGTCATCAACCTCGTAGAGGCAGTTCTGCATCGTTGAGACTCCGTTTAACAAATTGGCGAGCGGTCCGATAGCTCGATCGTTCCAGCCGCGGGCAACACAGACGGCGGAGTGAAGTGATTGAAGCCGCGGCGTTACTTCAAGTCAGCCCGTTCGCCCTAGCGGGTTCTGCATGCCGGATCGTCCATTCCATTACCTTGTAGCTAGCCGCCTGTACATAGGGTGCTGAGATCTGAGCCAAACACAACGGTTTTCACGTGATGCCGAATGAATGTACTTCGTGCTCCCCTTGTCTCATCCTTGCTAAGTACACTGAGGGATCAAGTGACTGTCATCCTTCCCGCGCAGCCGCGCCCCGCCGGATCATCCTGGCGATTCTCCAAGCTCCATCCACACGTCAGCAAAAGGCGTGTCGGGCACGCGCTTGGCTGTGGGGGCGAAGCAAGATGGACCGCCGAGGACCCTTTCACGTCATTGTTCCCGGTGCTTGAATTGGACCGAAATCCCGCGTGGTTAGGTACAATCCCTCTCCAAAGCGGTAAGGGGCCAATGAGCAAGGGGTGGTTCCAGCGACTCGGTTCCGACTATACGCTAAGTCTGCCGGGTTTGCAAGGCCAAGCGACAGAGAGATGACCTTGCAAATCGGATTTGGGCCACGAGTCTGTCCTAGAGTCGGATGCGTATCATTGTGTTGTGTGTCAGTGCGGGTCCCGCGCCGCAGAGGCAGGGCGAAACATGAATAATGATCTCTATACTCATTTTCCTGATCAGTAATACAGCGTTAGACGCGTTTCTGAGCTGCAGTGGCTGTCTTGGCAGCATGCACGTCGAAGCTTCAATCACACACACTTTGTGCGAGCGACCAGTGAGCCACCGAACGTGTGTTTGATTGCATATTGTACGTTAAAGCCGGAAATATCCACGTCACCGGTGTCTCCCAAAGTTGCATATATGCATATGTACGTTTGTAACCCGGTGCTGAAAGCCCATTTACGCGGTTGTCGGTTTCCGAAACAAGGGACCATTCGCATGGCGGATTGTTGTTCCGCTGCCCAGTGATGTCAACATGGAGATGAGGAACGAATGGCCACCAGTATCGTAGCCGCTGTTGTACCGATGACATGGTTCTCATGAGTACATACAATTGCCCGGACCACAGTCGTCCACTTGACAACCATTGTCGAATGGTGCGCTGCGCGTTAGTGGCGCCTCTCGGTAGCTTCGGTTCGTTGTTGCATGGTTGGTCCTTCTCCACAGCGGTGGGTGCTTTTTACAAGGCTTTTCCCGCACTAAGTCGTGGCGACAACGGCCCGCTAGACTGATCGTTACTCAAAGTTGAGAAAAGCCGTGCGAGGTCAGTCGGCAGCCTGGCTCGCGTGTTCGTGGCTAATGCATGTGAAACCGGCTCGTAATAATTGGTGCGCATCGAGAAGGCATCGAATCGAATTCGGGTAGAGCATCAGTCATGGACATACGGCTCTGTTGTGAAATCAGTCGCAAGTCATGTTTAAGATTGCAGTGCTGCAAACCTACTGGAACTGCCATACGATCTGATGCTGAATGCTGAATCGTAGAGGTGCTCGGTAAAATTCCCTTCTCGGTCTAAGGTACGAGTTTTCGCACGATTTCGCGCGGCATTGCCGAAGCATGCCGTGCGGGACAGCGTCGGCCACGGTGCTCTGTTCGCTCTTGGACCCTGATAGGGAAGAGGTGCTGACCGATGATTTTGCGTGACCCGTGTGGTCGGATACATCGCAGGGAAAAGCTACAGGGGCACCCTCAACCAGCAGGAACTCCATGTTCCTGCTTTCCTCATTCCTCCAAATCCTCCCGCGATCCCTCGAACGGGTCGGTCAACGCCTTCTTTCGTAATCCAGTCTCATTGGTACGAAGGAGAAGGAGTCCGACGTTGGGTGTGAGGAAATGACATACGCGCTCTTTCAAATAGTTGAGATTGGGACGAGACCGTGTACAGAAGGCCATGTTGTAGCAATTTGGCCAAGTATACGAAGAGATGGTGGTCTTTGCGACCTTGAAGCTGTATATTCGTGGCTTCATAAAGAACAGGCGCTTGCTTGCAAACATTATATACAAAGGAACTGATGACTGTTGAGCGCTTCGCTGGAAGCCTGGTGCTCAAACACTAATGTCACGAAGTGTGACGGAGCCGGGACTGTGTACAAGCCTAAAGCGTACGAGACAAGTCGGAGCTACGATTCCTGCGGCGTAAAAGTGTGCCCTTTGGAAGCTTCGAGTGTCCTGCGGGCCAAATTCCGATTTGGGAAGCGGCACACAATGGTATGGTCGCCAGCTGGCATGCTTCCACCTGTGCGTGTCGATGCTGCATGATATCGAGGCGAAGCCTAATGTCTTTAGCCAGACCGTGACACTTGGTGCTCGGGTATTACACTTAGTTCAACCAGCACCTTCTTTGGTTGTCCTTGAACTGGATAGTTCTAGATCGATCGAGCGATGAGATACAGGATTCATCTACCCACTCGTTTCAGACGCTCTTCTTGGCTTGCACTTATCGTGCGCCATGTGCCCGTTTCTTGCAGTAGTCCGCGTGAATTCGGCTCCACACCTAGGGCATGAGCTTTTCGAGGCGGTCCCTGACTTCTCTCGTTGATGTCGTAAAAGGTTACTGAACGTAGAGAACTGCCGTCCGTTACACCCATGCTCCCAGCATTGGGGCTTCGGTCTAGAGTTCACAACACGTGGCTGCATTGCACTGCCCTGCGTACTTGGAGATGAAGATAGCGCAGGTACTGGACCACCAGCCGGCGGGCCACTCTGCGAAGACTCGTACGATGGATACGCGGCAGGTGTC